GTCAGAGGTATAGTCCTGGGGCTAACAGCACAGTTTTCCTGAGCTTCCCAAACGAGATACATCTCCCTGAATCAGCATCCTGCATTGCTTGAAGGCCACTGCAGGCTAAGGAGAACTGACCAACTTTGAGACCTACCTTGCATATTTCTGTATTGATTCAATCACAGCAAATTGGTGGTCAGAGGGGAACAGGCAGCTGGTGGTGTTCACCCAAGCTCAGACCCAGACTAACATAGAAGTGCTGGGTTGAGTTTGGGAGTCTACTATTGCCAAACCCAGCCACTGGGTGGGAAAGATATTCCTTTACAATTACAAAATGTCCATATTGTATATGGACATTTAGAACTGTTTCTAGCCACCCAAAATTTGAACCTGGGCCCAAGGAACCCTGGGGGGAAGACAGAGACTACCTTCCCACCTAGAGCCAAATCTCCAGGTTTTTACTTCCCAGGCTCCCTTGTAGCCAAAGCTTCGGCATGAGACCTTGGGCTCCACATACTCCCCCATCCATCAGATGCACCTGAGGGAATTAGTGAACTGGGGGCCCCCAAATGGAGACAGGGCGAAAGCTTCTCCAGAGATAACTGCAGGAAGTTTAGACCCCAAGTTGGCCAGGTGCAGTGGCTCACACCTGTACTCCCAGCACTTTGGGAGCGAGAGATGGGAGTATCGCTTGAGCCCAGGAGTTCAAGACCAGCCCTGGCAAAATGGCAAGATCCCATCTCTACAAAAAATTTAAAAATTAGCCAGGTGTGGTGGCATGTGCCTGTAGTCTAAGCTACTCAGGAGGCTGATGCAGGAGGATCAGTTGGGCACAGAAGTTTTGAGATTGCAGTGATCCTTGATTGTGTCACTGGACTCCAGCCTGGTAGACTGAGACCCTGTCTCAAAAAGACTCCAGGGCAGTGGTGGCAGTGGTGGCAGCAGGGCTGTGGCCCACCTGGTGGCCAAGGCTGGTGGTGTTGGCAGGGCCTTTCAGGAAGGCCTTCATTGGGCCAGCTCTGCGCTGTGTTCTTGGCTGGGGCCCCAAATCTGGTTCTCTAGCCCTCTCAGTGATTCCATAAACTCCCCAATATATTTTTCACAAATTTCTTCTCTACTTAACCTAGCAGAGTCACTTTTTGAGAGGCAGCAGAACCTGTTTGAATCCTAGTTCTGTTACAAGTGACTTAATTGTACCATGCCTCAGTTTCCCCATGTGTAAAATGAGGATAATACTACGTCTCTGTCACTGGCTGGTGGAAGGATTAAAAGAGTGAAACCACAGTGCAAACGCATGGAAGCCCAGCCACTGGAGCGCCAGCCAGCACAGGTTGTGTAGGGAACACCCGATGAGACTTGAGTGCGTAACTTGGCTCTGCCACTGACTAACGTGTGTGGCCCGCACTAGTCCCTTCCCTTCCCTTGGCCCTGCTGCATCTGGATATAGCTCTGGGGGAGACGGCTCAAGGCTCTGACTCAGCCTCCCAAACTCACTCCATATAGCTATTTGCTACCTCCGCATCCTAGGACTTCTAAATGCCTCATCCCCACTCTTGGTGCTCTCTTGAGCATTTCCCCACCCAGCCAGCTGCTTCCTGATATCTCCACTCAGGTGTCCCTCCAGCTCCTCAAGTCAACACATCCCCAACTGTGCTCAGCTGTTTCCTGTGTGCCCAATCCTCTGCCTTGCCGTCTCTCACCACATCTTGTCAATTTCAAATGCCCAAGGTTGCTGGTGTCTTCACCCTCTTTTGCTCCCACAGCCTGCGGTCTACCTGGGTCTGTGCAGAAGTCTCCTTACCGCTCCTCTCCCTCCAGAGGACAATGTGCTCCCAAAGCTGAGCTCCTCCACTCACAAGCTCACCCAGGCTCCCTTTCCAGGTGAAGCCCTGTAGAATGCCCTGCATCACCTGACCTGCATACGTCTCCCCAGCCTCATTCTTCCTTTCTTCTACTCCCTGTTCTCCATCCAACACTCACTCCTCCTGAGGCACAAAGCCGGGCCTGTCTCCATGCCTTTGCTCAGCCCCCTTAGCCTAGAGGGCCTCTCCTGTACCTCTCCTGCACTCACCTGCTAAAACCCAACCTGTCCCCAGAAGTCCAGTTCAGAGGGCTAAGTTCTCCCTGATTTCCAGGCCAGAGGTAAGTCTTCTTTCCAAATCTCTAAGCCAGGCATCCCCAAAGTACGGCCCACCGGCTGCATGCGGTCCCCTGAGGCCATTTATCCGGCCCCCCGCTGCACTTCAGGAAGGGGCACCTCTTTCATTGGTGGTCAGTGAGAGGAGCACAGTATGTTGCGGCTCTCCAGCGGTCTGAGGGACAGTGAACTGGCCCCCTGTGTAAAAAGTCTGGGGACGCCTGCTCTAAGCTGTCCTTGCAAACCAAATGCCTCTTGTGGAGGCAGTGCTGCTCCATGGTTAAGACTGAGGGCTGTGCATTAGGAGCTGATTAGGACCTCGAACAAGTTACTTCATGTGTCTGAGTCTCAGTGTTCTTGTCTACAATATGGGCATAGAAGCAGTATGTATCTTGGAGGGAGTGGGGGTGAGTGGGATTATGGATATAAAGCTCTCCCTGTGGTAGCTGGCACCTGGAAAATGATTAACACTTGAGAGCTTTGCAGCAGATCCTCTGAGCTCAGCTGAGTTGAAAAATCGCAGAGACTAATATCTAAACTGTTATTCCCACCTGGGTGATTCCTGCTCAATGAATCTTCATTGATCAATGAATGGAATGAGGCTTCCATAGGGGTTTGGCTATAGCATGGTAAAATTGGGGCAGGAAGTGGAGCCTGAACTCTCCTGTGCTCCCCCTGGGCTTCTCATGGAGTTTTCTCCCCGTGTCATTCTTTCTAAAGGAGGGATGCCATGGAAAAGGCAAACAGAGAAGGAAGCAACAATGGTGTGAAGAAAGGGGAGGAGGGAAATCAATCATGCATGTCCACAGCCATTAGCACCCTTTGCTCTTCCCACCTAGGCTGACCTCACACTCCAGGTGCTGGTTAGTGGTTAGTGTTCCCCACCCTCCACCAGCTCCTCTCATTCTCCCGACGTGGCAGTGCAGGCAGCACTTCGGTCTAAATGAAGAAAATTGTTCATCAGATACCAGGGGCTTATTGGCACTACCTTTACCAGCCTGGGTGGTGGCCCAACCTTTTTTCAGCTTCTCATTAGACTTGATTGATGTGGATGGTCTGATATGCACTGTCTGCCCTCCTTTGGGAAGTCTTCCCTGTCACTCCTGACCCCATTCCCATAGACCTTGTGCTTCCCCCCTAATTAGGGCGTTCATCATTCTGTTCTTTTTGTCTGTTGCAATTGTGAGTGGGAGCCTCAATACAGTGCCCATGCAGTGGCTGGCGCATAGTGGGTGTTCCACAAATTGATTGAATAATACTGTACTCAGCTTGGCTATGAAGAAGAGAGCTGGGTCCTGCCCTGGGAAAAGGGGGCCTCCAGGAGGGTTGGGGAGAACAAGGTATAGCTCAGGCTGGGGTAAGAACCAAAGCAGAGCTCCCTGAGGTTCACAGGCTGTGGGCTGAGATACTCCATCACCCTGCTTCACCCTGGATGGCCACGACCCTTAATCTCCAGCCTCAGTCTGAATCAGGCACGCTGATCTCCACTGCCCCACCCCACAAGCAGTTCACGGAATTCTAGAAATACAGTTTTATAAAGCCAGGACTAGGAAGGCACAGGGAAATCATTCATTCTGCTTGCACATCTCCTAGGTTGGGGACCTTCCTTCCTTCCAGGGAGATCTGTTTCAATCATGGATAAGATGTGCTCCCTGGCCCCACCAGAGCCCTCAGCTTGGTACAGTCAGGGGAGTGCCACTTGGAATCAGGTGTAGGTGATTCCAAGTGGCACTGCTATCTTGCCTTCTAAACATCTCTCCTGGCGAAGGCCTCAGCCTGGGCTTCTGAAAGTGTGTGCACGTGTGTGTGTGGAGGGGGGGTGGTGGTGGTGGTGGTGGTGGAGGTGGAGCTGGACCACTATGCAGACATAGACACTCAGAGAGGGTTTGTTAGGATGTTTCCAGGATGAAAGGTTTCAGACAGATAATCCTCAGATAGGATCTCAGCATACTTGGCAACTGGGGTTGGGCTGGAGGCATGAGGGGAGTTCTAGGTGGGCCAGTGATTGCTGTCCCCACAGGCTGCTGCAGACCACATGCCTGGCTCCCATCACATGTTCCACAGGGCACAGACAGGCACCCACAGACATGCACACACCCAGAACCCCCACTAAACCACTCCCCCGGAGGCTGTGTAACTCTGGCAGCCTCTACTACCCTTTTCTCCAGAGCCTCAAGCCTGTCCATGACTTGCCAGGAGGAAGGAAGGCATAGGTTGTTCTCCTTGGGGGGCGGGGGAAGGGACTGATTCAGACAGCACTCATTATGGGGGCGCAGGACTAATGCTGCCCACGCCCCTGACTCAGCCCAGCAGGTCAGTCCTGGGACATCGGATTAGGGAAGATGCAACACCTCTCACCCTCTAGCTTGGCAGAACCTATGCCTGCCTGTCCTCCCCACAAAACATGCACTCGCCCCAGCCCGCCCGGCTCCTGCCTTCCTCCTCTTCTCTCCGGTAGTACGGTCAGGTCACTGCACTCACTCTGGGAGATTTGGAACTTAGCATATCGGCTCTCCTGGGGTAGGTCCTCCTTCTGGGCAGGGGAAGCAGCGTCTACACAATGAAGCCCTAATGGGGAACTTCAGGCAACAGAAACCTGCAATGAAGGTTTACCCTCAAAGAGAAGGAAGTATTTCCTTCTCTCCTTTTTGGGCTCTGACCGCATGGAGCACGGGAATTGTGGGCAAATCACTGCCTTACTGAGGTTAGACGCTGTACTGGGGGTAGAAGCAGAAGGCGCACCCCAACATTGTAAGGGGTCCTTAATGCCAGAGGTCTGCTGTACCGCGGCCCTCAGCGGCTTTGTGTCGCTGGATCCGGGACCCTCTCTACTCCCTAAACCGCCGGTGAAGAGCAGGCAGCGAGGGCCAGGGGCACTCACGGGTCGTGTCGTACTTGACGCCGTTGAAGTACTCGGGACACGGCCTCTCCACGAGGGCTCCGGCGGCGCTGCGGGGCCAGCACGTTCCGATCTGGTCCAAGGTCGTGTTGCAGTAGGAGTAAGGACCTGGCGGCGGGAGAGAGCGGAGCAGGGCTCAGAGGGGCCCCCAGGGGCGCAGGGAGCCACGGGGCACTCGGAGCGCGGGGTCTGGGGCGCACCCAGCGCGCGAGCGCGAGGGAAGAAGCTTGTGTCGCCTCCGACCGCTGTCCTCCTGCCTACCCTCGGGGTCCAGGGGCGGCCCCCAGCCGTCCAAGAGCAGCTCTTCGGCCAGCGCCAGGCTGCAGTTGGCCTCCAGCAGGCTGTGGAGCAGTGCCGGGTCCATTGCGCCCCGCAGCCGCGTGTAGAGAAGGAGTGGGAGTGCGCGCCCCGCGTGGCTGTGAGGGAGTGGATGCGAGAGGGAACTGCCGAGAGAGCGCAGGGTCCTGGCCTCCCCCCGCCGGCCCAGCCCCAATCTCCCGGGCAGCCTCTGGGCGCAGCCTCCGGTCTCCCAGAGCTGTCAAGTGGGGACCTTCCCGGAGAGGAGCAGCGGGTACAGCGGCTCCGCCACGGCCAATGGCGGAGCCAGGAGGCGGGGCCGGGAGGCTCCTCTCGAAGGGGCTCGGTCTCCAGCCCCCCGGATCCCCCACCCTGCCCAGAAGACGGCTTCTCAATTCGCAGATGTCTTCCACCCGTGGCTCCCAGAGGAAGGCGGCCGGCTGGAGAGCGTGGCCTGGGGTGACTGGCGGAATGCCCCGTGCGGGGATGGGGATCGCAGGCCCCGGAGCTGCAGGGGGCAGCAAAGCGCGCCCACCTGCCAGCCTGCCGTAGGAGAACGCTGCAGCTCTCCTAACCAAGGGACAGCCGCTACCCAAAGTTGGGCAGCTATCTGCCTGAGCTTCCCCTCCCTGAGCGAGGACACTGGAGGGAGGCAGGGACAGAGAGCCCATGGGCAGCTCTGCACCCTGGAAAAGCCTCTAGCTCCTGGGAAGGAAATGGATTGGGGAGGCCTCGAGGGAAGCAGGGAGCCACCCAAGAGTCTGAGATCAAGTGGCCTGAATGGGTTGAAGACCTCGGATCAGGCCGTGGAAGCTGAAATGAAGAGAGATTTCCGAGGGGCAGCCAGATCTGGTGAGGAGGAACTGGAGTGGGTGGCTGGTTTTAAGCAGGAGCCTGGAGGCAGGGATAATACCAGGTCACCCGCTTCAGTGACTGGGGGACCATTTAATCAGATGGAGTAAGTCCAGGGGAGAAAGTGGTTGAAATTATCTGGAAAGCTTTAAGCATCCAGGTATTAGTGCCCTGGGCACCAGAAAGAATAAAGGAAGAAGTCAGAATGTGTCTTTCTTCCTCCAGGCTGGGGCAGGGCCTCACCTGACCCTAGTTTCTATACCAGTAGCGGAGGCAGGGGTGAGGAGGAAACCAGGGCCCACAGCAGGTGTGGAGGAGCTGGAAATCTTCCCAGGGAACTTGCCCAGGCACCACTCAGACTGCCTCCTTGGTGATCTGCTGTGCCTGCACCCTCAGAGTGCCCAGGGTGGGCCTGCTGTACCTGCCTGCTGAGTGGGGCATCTAGCTCAGGAAGCAGGGCCTGGGGTGAGGCATACTTTCACTCAGGCTGTTTTTGGTCTGGCCTCTGACTCTGCTCTCCCTGGCATTGTACCCCAAACAGGATTCTTGCCCTCTCTTCTGGGGCTTTCTCCATCAGTGAAATATTCTCCAAGGCCCTTCTCAGCTCTGAGACTCTGGTTCTGAGTTACGAGATGGAGAGCCTGGAAACATATATGTGTGTTGTGTGTTTCTGTCTTTAGAGGGCAGGGAGAGCTGGAAGCCAGACCCAGGAACCACTCCTGTTCCCCTGCCATCCTCCACAGAAACCTAAGCTGCCAGGAAAAGCTGAAACCACCCTGCACCAGCACCATGTCCTAGGCAGAGAGGCGAAGCGGCAGGCAGGCTGCCTTTCTATGTTCTGCTCTCACCAGCCTCCATATTAATGGTGCTGTCACTGCCCAGGCAGAGCAAATGAGACTCCACTAAGACCAGGGCTGAGCCCTGGAATCTCTCCAGGGCCTGCTGACTGGCAGGTACAAGGTGCTGAGCAGCCAGCCAGGTCTATCCTCTGCCTCCTGAATGGATGGCGAGAGGCCCAGGCTCAGCTCTGGGCAACTGCAGAGGTACAGGCTCCTTGGCCTTCATATAATTCAGTGCCGAGAGCAGGGTAGGACCTAGGCAGAGTCTTATCCTCAGTTCCTAGATTGAGCCCTGTTAACCAGCGACCCACAAAGGCCAGAGTGTGGCCGGCCATGTCAGCTCATGTATTCACAAGGAAATAGTGTTCTTCATATGCAGGGGGCAGCCCTTCACACAGCACATTGCAGCAGGGAGGAAGGGAGAAGTCCCAAGCCGAGCTTAAGTTATTCACCTTGCACGGTACTGAAGCCACTGCCTACTTGGTGCGTAAAGCACACCAGCTCCTGAGATACAGCTATGTCAGAGGTGGTGTGCTCCCAGTGACCAGAGGCCAGGGACTTATCTCATGCAGATTTCTGCAGAACAGAGGGTTGGCCTGGGTGAACCGGATTACTCTTAACTGGGAGAGCACATGTACCAAAGATGCCTCTGGGAAGTGACCATTTCAGTGGCAGAGTCAAAGGTGGTTCTGCATCCTGAATGGGCAGTTGGGGTCTGAGCACAGACCCAAGGTCCCCTGGTTTCCAGGATGTGGGGCCATTTCTCATGGATCTTATTATTATAGGCACAGTTGTCATTCTAGATGTGACAGAGGGAAAACTAGAAAAGATAGCAATTTGGGAACAAAATAATTTTATAGCTCATGTCAGTGTCTACAAATAGGTAAATGAGGAAAAAATTGGGAAGAGCCCCAAACTTCCGTCAATTTTATTAAATCTGAGTGCAAATAAACAAAGACAAGGGCCATTTTGCTAACTAAAGAAGCAGAAATAGATGGGAGGCTTTGGGATAGTGGTGGGTTCCCAGAAATGCAGGCCAGCCCTGTCCCAGCTAGAGGCCACACATTAGGGGATAAGTATTTGGAACAGTCTGTGTGTCCCCAGGCTGCTGGGGACAGGTTGGCAAATAGGTTGCGGGAAGTGTGTGTCACACTGCGGTGCTCTGGAAGACCCCTGTGTAACATGAGCAGCAGAGTAAGGCAGGTGTCTCTGGTGCCCTGTGTCCCATCCCACGGCCTGTTTCTGATGTCAGCTGAGGTGACATCAGTTCCAGGCCAGCACAGACACACTTGCAAAGCCTAACACATGGCATGAAATAGGGATGCAGGCACAACAGAATGACACACAGAGCCACAGTCATGCATCTTCACCATATACACACATTCTCTCTCATTCATCCACTACCACTCAGATGTCAGCTGGAAAACAGGATCTAAAGGGACAGGATACAGCTTTGCTTCTCTAAGGGACCATTGTTGGTTAGACTGCATAGACAGGGAATCTATTCAGGCAGAGCTGGGATTAGCGTGGTGTTTCCTGGGAGTTGTGATGGGGTTGCTGAGGGCATGCAAGTTCTAAAAGGGCCTGAAGGTGACACACTCTTGTGCTGTGGCACTGGAGACAGGGTCCCAGGCCAGACACCCTCTCCTCACCCTATTATATTCCACTGCAGGACAGAGGAGGTGGCCTGGTGTCTTCATGTCAAACCATGGGACTAAGCTGTGGGGACAGAAAGGGCCCTCAGTGACATCCAATCCCACGTTCTTGTTTTACCAATGGACAATAGGATTCCCAGACAAGGAAAAGAGGCTCCTTCCGCTGCTTCTCCTCGGCCATCCTCACCTCTGCAGCAGCCCAAATGGGCTCCCTGTCTCCTCATGGCAGGTGAAATGATGTTTTATGATTACGATTCTGTCACTCTTCCTCGTAAGAGTGCCCCCACTCCATTGCCCTTGAGATACCAATCACAAAGAAGGTCCTTCATGATCATTGTCCCCCATCCTCACCCTCCTGCTTCATTGGAAAGGCCCTCTAGAACAATCTGTCACTCCTGGGAACCATCTTTGGCATTGCAAAGAAGGTCCTTCATGAGCATCTATCCCTTGTGCTCACCCTCCTGCCTCATTTGAAAGGCCCTTCAGAACAATGTGTCATTTCCGGGAACCATCTTTGGTATTGCAAAGAAGGTTCTTCATGATCATCTATCTCTCATCCTCACCCTCCTGCTCCATTTGAAAGGCCCTCCAGAACAATGTGTCACTACTGGGAACCATTTGCTACCTCTGTTCCTTGTTTGTGTTTTTGTTCTAGACACGCCCTTATAGCTCCACACTTATCCTTCAGACATGCAGCTCCTTGGTGCCCTCATCTGCTGGCCTCCAGCAGACTGTGGAGCCAGCCTATGTCACATCCAGGTGGCTGTTTTTTCCCTATCTCATCTACCAGTCCATGCCTCCCCAAGGGCATGGCTGGTCCTGTTCAGTAACCCATCCCCAGCACCCATTGAAATGCTCCAGGCTTCAGCTCAGTGAGTCATTAAGACAGAATAGATGCCTTGGCAGAGCTAGGGAAAGCATGGGTCTGTCTTCAAGCCAAGGCTCTCTTCCTATTTGACCAGCCCTGGTGTATGTGTGTGTATTGTATTGAGGAATTATTTCGAGAAATCCTTGAATCCATTTGGATTCTTGGCCAGGTGCAGTGGCTCACACCAGGTGCAGTAATCTCAGCCCTTTGGGAAGCTGAGGCAGGCGGATTGCTTGAGCCCAGGAATTCAAGACCAGCCTGTGCAGTATACTGAGATACCCATCTCTATAAAAAATAATAATCCATTTGGATTTTTAGATTCTTATGGACACAATAAATAATATGCCTCACAATATATGCCCTAATATTTTTCAAATATATGTCAATGCCTCTGTGATGAATAAAATAGAAATAATCCATTTAAAGCCTGCCTAAAGTCATAATCGCTCTGTGATTATGCATGCGTTTCCTTTTTCAGGGGCACACAATTGAATTGATCATAGATTCATGACCCTTTGTCATTATTAGCCTGTGCATGACCTAACTTTATTTTTTAGTCTTTATTTTATTTGGTCTTTTTATTGTATGTAGTAGACACTATAATAAACCTACCTCCCAATTGGAAACTACATCATTACCAGTCACTTCTATACTTGTTTCTATACTCCTCCCCAGAGGGAGCATTCCCTTGACTATTGCATTTGTCATCCTCTGGCTCATAGTTTTTTGTTTTTTTTTTTCTTTCAGTTTTCTCACCAGTATGTACATCTGAAAGATACAGTGTTTGGTTTTACTTGGTTTTGAACTCTGTTAGTCATCATACATTTTCTCAAACGGTGTACACTAAAAAGAAGGTCATGATGATGTGGGGGCTTGAGAAATGATTCCCGAAGCTTGAGGGGCTCCCTAGCAGCCTCTACCTCTGCCATCCGGACCCGGTTCAGGTGGGGTGATGCATCCCCAGAGTGGCTGCTAGGCAGCATCACCAGCGATGTGGTGGTTGAATATTTAATGACATGGGGAAATGTTCACTCTGAGTTATCAGAGGAAAAAGCAGGTG